TTTGCATATATTTTAATTTAATTTTTCTTTTAATTTTTTTAAATTAATTTTTTTAATATTTAAAAAATTGTATTTTTTAAGTAAAATTCAGTTTATTCAATTTCCTTAAACATAATTTAATTTAATTTAAAAACAAAATCTAATAATGTCACAATAAAGGAAAAGCAACATATATTTCATTTCAGCTCCCTCTCAAAGACCTATAAAATCCCTTGCCTGCTGCTCGCCCACCTCCTTGAAGATCTCTGCTGTCTTGAACAGCTTGATGAAGCGCGGCGTGAACTCTTGGTGTATTGTCTCCGCCCCCTCGGTAACGATGGCCTTGTGCAGCAGTCCGTCCAGCTGTGCATCGCGCTGCTTCCGCTCCAGCGCATCGGACATTTTGCGCAGATAGATGAGATCCAGGAGCAGCTCATCCCGCACATCGGCCGCCTGCCTCTGCTGCTCGAGAGGCAGTTCCTCGAACTCTCGCAGCAGCTTCTTGACAATACGTGACTTTTGCTCAATGTTAGCCGGCTCCAAAATTTGGTCCGCCTGCTCGTTGCTTTGGGCAAGCAATCGCAGATTCGCCTCACGTTTATCGCGCGTCTTTTGCTGCTCGGCCATATTTTTCATGATCAGATTGTAGAACTCCACCAGATCGGGTCGCAATGGCATACAATTCTTCATTTGCATTTGCTTATCAATCAGATCGCTAATCGTCTCCATAGTGCGACGCACCATATACTCCGTCTCCTGCAGCTGCTTCTCATTCTGATTGTTGCGTATCTGATAGAAATTCTTGGCTGCCTTCCCAGCGCATTTACGATTCTTGGCCAGCACTGCGACCAATGCATCCATGCTCGGATCATTGCTCACCATATTGAAAACAGTATGAACTATATCATCGGATAGCTTGCCAGAGACGAGCTTGCCATAGTGCTCATTATGCGGCTCATTCATATCTACGTGTATGTCCGAAGAGTTGCTCGAAGAGCTCAAAGTGGAGTTCGAATTGCTGAAGATGGTGTGAAAACGTTACTCCCTCCATCTATGCATCTGTATCTATTTATCGGTATCTATGTACCTGTATATATGTATCTGCATCTATGTATATGAGTATATGTATCTGTAGCTATGTATCTATATCTATTTATCTGTATCTATGTATCTAACTATGTACCTGTATCTATGTATCCGTATCTATGTATCCGTATCTATGTATCCGTATCTATGTATCCGTATCTATGTATCCGTATCTATGAATCTGTATCTATGTATCTGTATCTATGTATCTGTATCTATTTATCTGTATCTATGTATCTGTATCTGAGTATCTGTATCTGAGTATCTATATCTGAGTATCTGTATCTGAGTATCTGTATCTGTATCTGAGTATGTATCTGTATCTGTATCTGTATCTGTATCTGTATCTGTATCTGTATCTGTATCTGCATCTGTATCTGTATCTGTATCTGTATCTGTATCTGTATCTGTATCTGTATCTGTATGTATATCTGTATTTCTATCTATATATCTACCTGTATCTGTATCTGTATCTATATCTGTATGTGTATCTGTATATGTCTGTAACTCTCGATATCTCTCTCTCTCCCTCTCTCTCTTTCTCTCTGCTTCTATCTCTCTATTTCTCTCTCTCTATTTCCTCCTCTTCTTTTCTACTTACTTCTTAGCATTATCATCTTTTGCATCTCCTTTTTTTGCCTTTTTGCCCTTCTTCTTTGCTTTCTTTTTGTGTCGATCCTGACGTCGCTGCTTGGCGTCTTCGTTCCGATCCATGGCCTCGCGTGAATAACGCTCGTCTCTATCCAAGTTCCCGTAGTCCTCGTCCACAAGTGAGGATGAAATAATACGCGAACCGCTCGGCTGCACACTGATCGTACCATTGCTAATGAATTGATTCGTCTTCGGATCTGTGCACACATTCGCATTCAGCGACACATTCAGCTTAACGGCATCAGGTCTATTGCAAATATTATTATTATCGACTGCGACATCGGGTGCTGCAGTGCTTGACTGAGTGCGCGAAGTTGTGCTCTCTGTTGGAATAGGAACACAATCGGGATTCATGGTGCTGCCAGCAGCAGCAGAAGCAGGAGGAGCTGCTGTTGTTGTTGCCGCGGTTGTCGCCGCTGCTGCCGCAGCTGCTGCAGCTGTTGTTGTTGTTGTTGCCGCCGTTGTAGCTGTCGTTGTTGTTGTTGTTGACTCTGTTGTTGTTGTTGTCTCTGCTGTTGGTTCGGTTGTTACTTTGCTGGTTGGCACACACGGATCATTCATAATATTCAGCTTGTTGGCCCTATTAGCGGACATTCCAAAGTGACGATGCGCACCATACAAAGGCTTCAAATGATTAGATTCTAAATTTGTCTGATGCGATTGCTGCTGCTGCTGATGCAACTGCGACTGTTGCTGCTGCAACTGTGATATCTGCTGCTGTTGCAGTTGCTGTTGCTGCTGTTGCGGTTTCTGCAGCTTCGCCAGCTCATGGAACAGATGCGTAAAATTCAGATTCGACTTCAAGTTGTTAGTCAGCAGCTGATTATGGAATTGTTGGGGCTGCTGCGGCTGTTGTCGCTGCACCACTTGCGGCTGGCACTGCTGCAACTGTTGCAGCTGCTGTGGATACAAGTGCTGCGGCTGCTGAGGCGGCATATATGATTGGAAGGGTTGCATATACTGGTAGGGCTGTGGATTGTTACGCTGACTCATCATGGGCACCTGGTAGCGCGAATTGGTGAAAATATTGGTGTCAACTGCGCCCGAATCCTGCGTCAGGTCATCGCCTTTGAAACTGGACAGTCGGGATCTATCATAGGACAGATCATCRTCATCATTGTCCTCCGCAATTTTAGCTGAATCCAGATACAGATCGTTGCCCAAGTTCCCATAATGCAAACGATTGCCATTGTGGTCCTCGAAGGCATCTAATGCTTTCGATGGACTATCCATTATATTTAGCAATGGCTGTAATTCCAGTTTCGGTTGGATTAGCGGAGAATACTCCGAATCTGATTGGGATTGGGATTGTGAGTCCGACTCCGACTGCGATGGCGACCTGAAGAGCTCTGAACGAGAATCGAACATATTTCGTGCATCTGCATGGGAAGTCTCTTCTAATTGTATATCGGAATCTCGCTCTGATTTTTGATATCTCTTGGAAATCGTATGGGGCTCTAGCTGTGAATCCGACTGAATCTCTGATAAGCCCTCCGACTGTGCTTCGGATTCTAGCTCTAGCGTTGAATCATGATTTCTTTTAGCTCTCAACTGGCTGTCTAGCTGTGAGTCCGACTGTGCCTCCATTTCGGAGTAGCGCTGGGATCTTTTCTCTCTTTCCGATAGAGTCTTCACCTCTGGATCAGATTGTGAATAAGCCTCGGCAGAATCCATTTCGGAGTAGCGCTTGGATCTTTGCTCTCTTTCTAACTTAGCCTCTGACAGAGTCTTCAACTCTGAATCGGATTGTGAATCCGATTCCACTGCCTCTGATTGAAGCTCCAGCTTGAATCCTAGCCGATCATCTGAGTCATCGGACTTTGCTTGTGTCTCTGTCTGATCTTTTGACTGTACCTCCGATTGCAGAACGGATTGTGATTGCTCTTCACCTTGTGCACTTGCCTCTGGCATTGCCTGTGGCTCCGTCTCCACTGAGCGCTTGCAGCGTCGCTTGCTACCGTTGCGATTGGGCTTTTGACGTAGCCCACGTTGCCTATTCCTCCGCTTAGTATTGCGTTTATCTCGCTCCTTCTCATGCTGCGAGATCTTGTTGGCCAGCAGCTTGATCACAGCATCTGGATGAGTCTTGCACATGCCATGCAGCTCAGACAACTCTTCACGCTTGGTCTTTGTCTTCAGAGAGTTCTCTTCATTCCGCATGATTTCTTTGTCCTTCTCATCCACAGACTTCACCTTGGACAGCATCTGTGAGTGCGCCTCGTTGATTTCAGTCTGTTTGGCATTCTCATTGACAGCTTGCGACGGTTGAGCATCCACTGAGGCATCGACCTGCTCCTGATGCGTGGACTGCCTATTGGTTTGAACAGCTTCGGCCTGGAGTGCTGCGGCTTGAGCTTCTTGATTTGGTTTGAGCTGAGCTGCGCCTTGGCTCTCCACTTTTGCCTCAGTTGCCTTCAGCTTGGCCTCCACTTTATCAGCTATGGCAGGCTCCGGTGCCGAGAGTCTGGCCATTATGGCCTCTGCCTCTGGCAGCTTATCGTTGCCTTTGCCTTTGGCCCCGCCCAAGGCCGCTTCCGTTTGCTCCATGCTCGACTCGCTCTCAGCTTCTGCGAACTTGAGCTCGCCTTTTTCTTGCGTCTCCGGCTGCCGCTTGTAGCGTTCGCCCTCCCGTCCCAAATTCAGTTTGGTATTCGCATGCGCATAGTCCCGCAGATTGGGCAAGACGCGCTGCCTTGACGCCATAAACTGATCAAAGTGGGGCATGCGATAGTCGTAGCTCTGCGGCGTGTCCAACAGGTGCATACTGGAGACATCCAAATTGGAGCTCGCTCTGCTATCAGCACCAAGGCCGCGAATGGAACTCTCCTCGATGGAGCTGAGCGATTCATATGGCAAGTGCATGACACCCGCTTGCTCCTCGTTCTCCTGCTGCTCCTGCTTGCGTTCCTTCTCCCGTTCGCGCTCCATCCTCAGCTCACGCTGCATGATTATATCGTTCACATAGTTGGCACGCAGCGTATCAGAGAGCGAATTGCTGGGCAGCGATGGTCCCATGCCCTTTAGCATCAGCCTGTTGCTCGTCTTCAGTTTGATCTCGTTCATGGGATTGAAACCGTTATTGGAGCTGCGCTTCTTCAGCCCAGGGGGATAGCGCATCTTGTTGGCTTGCTCGGCCGCCTCCTGCTCGATTTTGGACAGCTTATAGTTCGCCTCGTGTGACAGATTATTGGGATTGAGGCGTGGAAATTGTAGGCGAGCCAGCGTCTGCTCATAGACTCCATTTGGCACAATATCATTGCCATAGTCTCTGAGGCCCTGCTCTAGGTCCGGCTTGGGATCCTTTTTAATGTCCCGACTTTGCTGGAGCTCATGATTGTTCAGTTGCTGTTGCATGTGGCGCAGCTTGATGTCCAGCTCGGTGGCGCCACCGCTAAGAAAATCGAATTGTGGCTTATTCGGCAAATGGCTGACGGGCAGATTCTCATCCGTTAGCTCCTTGTACTTCTTCTTCACCTTGCCCACTTCGGTTTGATCGAAGCCCTTGCTATACGAGCTAATATGATCAATGGACTTGGCCTTGCCTGTGGCGCGCTGGTATTTGTCAGCAGGCTCTGCTTTCACCTCTGCAGCATCATCTGCTGCTGCTGCACCTTTGTCAGCTGCTGCTGCTGCTGTTGCACCTTCTGCTGCTGCTGCGCCTTTATCCGCTGCTGCTGCACTTAGTGGAGCTGCTGGCTGCTCCTGCGCCAAGCTTGCCTCAAAGTCACTAAGCCAATCATCCGCCGTCTCTGGCTGCGCCTTACTACTATCCTTCTGCTCAGCTGCGTCCTTATTGCCTGCCTGAGCAAAGCTCGCCAGCAATTCATCGATGCTATTGCGCCGATGTCGATACAGGTCAGCGTTCTGCACCTGTCCATAGCTCGAGTGTATTTCTTGCAGCTGATCGCGTGCCTCATTTACGGCATCATGAAAATTGCTCAGCTCCTCGCTGCCTGAGTCCGCCGCAAACTGCTTCGGTGGCTCCGTATGGGAGCTGCCTGTCAGCACCATCAGCGTCCACCAGAGCTGCAGAAAGATCATCGTGTTGTGCTGTGCCAGTCGAGCTATAATTAACTTACAAAATATACATATATATAAAGGAATATGTATATATATATATTTAGATATACATGAATACTATTCAATTGAAAAGTTTTGCGCCAACTGCCTGCGATTGAGTTTTCATTAACTTGGCAACAGGTTGTCTGTCGTGTGTGGAGCGGTCAGGGGGTGTGGCGGCTGCGGGGGGAGGCATAACTTTTTGACAGCCGCTGATAAGAGCCCAAAGAGTCGTGCATCGTGTGTCGAGAGAGTGGAGCAGGATTCATGCCGCATTGTGGCAAGTTTTTTGCACGGCGGCAGCTTCCGACAGCCGCTGCCAGCTGTTTAACATGAAATGCTCTTTGTTGCCAATATACAGCACACACACATACAGGCACACACATGGCCACGCCCACATACATGGCAGGCGCATTGTTAACTGCGTTTCCCCATGTAAATCACATTTTTGTTTTATGCCAAAACTTTTGCAAATCAGCAAAAAGGGTGCGGGGGGGGGGGGTGGGAGAGGGCGAGGTGGGTTGCGGGCGGGCAACGTGGCGTATGCGCAACGACAATAACATTTCCTATTTCCGCCTGGGCTGTCTGTCTCTCTGTCTGTCTGTCTGAGTGTGTGTGGCTGCACTCCCACACACACACACACACACTCGCACACACATGCTCTGTCAATGCCAAAGTCAGCACAATGCGCGCCTCGAAATAATTGAATATTATCAAATGTGCTGGCAACAGCAGCAGCAGCAGCAGCAACAACAACAATGAGTGAGTGAACCACAGTTAAAACTAATATAATTAGCGGGGCGCACGTTTGATTAAAAGTTTTTGCGGCCTGACTGAAGCACCAATCCATAAAACAAAGCTAACCCAAATTAAATAGATTGTTCGCACTTACAGTAAATATACCCTAAAGAGAAACTCAATTAAATAGTGCTTCATGCATACAAAAAGCCAAAAAAGTTTTGAGTAATATATGAGAGATGTTAATTTTGATGGACGATTTATGATATAGCATCGGGGGAGCATTAAGGGAGTAGCTAATCCCAATGTAAGTTGCTAAGGGTGGATGTAGTTGCCTAAACAGCATCTGTCATACAAAGCCTCAGATCATAATAACAATGCAAGATCAGCAATGCTACAGATAAGCCAATAATTATTTAATTTGATTTAATTTTTTAGCATTTATCGAGCTTTATTATAATTTAAATAAATTAAAATTTATCAATTTAATCTATAACAAACAAATAATCTAATATTGACCTAATCTAATATTTTTTTTTATCGACATAATATTTACAGTAATACTATGTTCGTAATTTTTGTGGACATTTACGATTTAATTTTTTCATTATTGATTTATTTATTTTTCTTATTTATTTATTTTTTATATTACATTGTAATATTTTTTTTTTTTTTTTTTTATACATGCTGATTAAGTTAAAAATAGTTATAAGCAACTATTCAGAATAATTACTATTAATAAATTCAAATTAAGTTTTAATCATTTCACAACTTCCATTATATTCCCGCTTTACAACCTTGGCTTTTGTTTCAGTCTCTTCAAATTAAGCGCTTCATTAATAATATGCTAACTGCAATGCATTCATCAGGCAGCTCTCTCTCTCCCCCTCTCTTTCTCTCTCTCGCCCTCTCTCTGACTTCTAAGCAAATTCTTTAATTTACACGTGCCACAACGTGGCATGCCTCAAACACATTCTCTTCTTTCTTTTTGCTTTGTGTTTTTTATTCATTTCATTTCGTTGCATTATTTGTTTGCCCATTGTCTTGGCTTAAAGCTGGAAGTGTTCATTTGTGGAGCTGGTCTGCCGTTTCCACATCAACGACTCGGCCAACAATTTTTTGAGCAAATGGTACAGCAATTTTTACTTATGCCTCAATACTTTTGCCTTGTCCACGAGGCGTCGGCGGTGCGGCGTGGCGTTGGTTGGTTGGCCGGGCGACATGACAAAATGAAAAAGGATACTTGGATACAGGATACTTCATGCCGGACTGCTGGCAGCAGTGGCAACGGCAGCGTGGCAGCGTGGCAGCGTGCATCAAAAAACATGACATGGCACGAGCCATTTCGTTTGTTTTTCTATTCTTACTTCAGCAGCGAACTCACTCTGCTATCTATCTCTATCTCACTCTCATTCTGCTATCTGTGGCAGGTTTTTCTTTTTTTTTTTTTTGGGGCTGCGTCCAAAACATATTTTTTCTATATTCTTGCAAGCTTTGAGTAAAATATTATGTTACAGCAAAACAAAACTTTTGTGTTGCATTTTCAGCTGCGGGCGTTGAGAAAAATCCCAAAAAAAAAAAAATATCGAGGAAAAAAAATGTGTAAAAAATTGTAAACTTAGTTAAATGCATTGGCAAAGTGTTGTGCTTATGCATATTCAAAATGCTTTGGGGCCCACTGCGAACCGCACACAAGCAATTCATTAAGCGCAATAGAAAATGGAAAATGGAAAATTTTACACTGGCTGCGGCGACTGGAGCAGCAGAGGATGGGGTCAGCGCTTCGGACAGTTTACGAGCCGCAGACGCAGACAAAAACGGTCCAAAATGTCGATGGGTTGCATATTTACTACTTAGAAATGTTTCATTTTATTGGTCTCGAAATGAACAAATGGAGCACACCACACAAGCCAGCACACACACACACAGCCACACACACACACTTGCATATGTGCTGTTGACTCCAAAAAATTTTGCATAATTTATGAGCGCAGCGCAAACGGCGGCAACACACGAAAGGACCTCAGCCATACACACACACATCTACTCTTTCAGTGTCTCTCTTTCTCTGCCTCGCTGTCCCTTTCACTCCCTCACCAACTGATTTAAATGCAATTGCATTGAAGTATGTTGTCAGTTGAAGGCTGCCATGTGGATGCGGCTCACGTGCTGCACAACAGGGAAATTGTTGCATATAGCAAAAGAAAAAATATATCAAAAAGAAAAGCTGAAAAATAAATATAAAGAAAAGCTGCTTCTGCTGCTGCTGCTGCTGCTGCTTCTACTATTGTAGCTGCCCATTTCGGCCATACAATACCTATCGACGTCTTTGGCAATTTCTTTTCATTTGCCAAGGTGTTGAGACGTATGTGCTACGTGGGCAGGTCAAGCAACTGCCCCACCCGCCGCCCACTCCTGTTCGCAGGTGTCGTCCACGATTTGCCACCGAGGCAGACCAGTTTTGTCTGCCTGCCAACCTGCCTGCCTTTGTCGACAAACAACCGACAAATTTAGTGTCTTTTGTGCATTCTTAAAATTGAACAAATTTATGTGACACGCTGCGCCAATTGATCAAATTAAATAAACATGAGAACTAGCAAGAAGTATCTGCATTCGGTCGAGAATTGAGAATTGAGCAGAGAGCATGGAACAGTTGAGAATTCAGAGCTGAGAGCTGCAGTGCTACAAAGACACAAAGAAAAACTAAATTTGAATTTACATTCATGTTTCAAGAAATTGTTGAATAAAATATTGAAATAATTTTTAGTAAAATATATTTAACCTCTTTTTATTTTATTTTTTTTTTATATCTTTTACATTATTTATTTTGAATTTTTTTCTTGCGTCTGATATAAGTATTTCTTCATTTATGTTCACAATATTCTCTCACAATATATTGCTTTCTTCCCAATTGTCGCCTGGCAAACGCTTACGACTATTTAAAGTGCTTGGGAATTAATGTGTTTTCGCTCCAATTAGGAATACTTAAGCAGGTCGGCAATCAATTTGTGCCGCAATGGCTGGCTAATTTGCGATAATTAACTAAATGCCAAGCAGCACGTGCCGCCAAGTTCATCCAAATCCCATAAAGCAATCACATGCACTTGCACAACTATTAAAACTCCCAAGCCAAATGTGAGCTGAATTTCCGTCTATATATATATTTTTTTCGCCTGAATTCTTATGCCTGTGTTTTTACTTCTTCTTCTTTTTTATTTGGACTGCTGTCCGGGCCATTACGACTTGCTACATTTCCTTTTGCGACTTCTTTTGGATCCCCATCGCTCCCTCTGTCTCTCCTCTCTCTTTCTCTCCTCAGCTCTCTTGTCGCGTTTTCTGGCAATTTTCCATATGCAACACGCAACAGACGTTTTTATGTTTTCTCTGTGCGGCATCGTACACATAAAAAATAAACGAGCCAAAAGGACCAGAACGGAACGACAAGCCCAGCTTTAGTTAGAGTAGAAAATAATAAAAAAAAAGAAGAAAAACAGAAAAAAATTGGAGAAGCAGTGGAAGTCAAAAGAGTGGAAGTCAATTATCGAATTAATTTAGTTGCCACTGACCTGGCCAAAAGTGGGAGCCATCATAAATGTAAATGGGTTTAGAGCAATGTCAGCTGCCCCAAATGGAATTCAAATTGTTTTAATTTTTTTTTTTTTTCAATTTTGGCTCTGCGAACAGCAGGCAGGCAGCCAGCCTGATTGCACAATTTGCAATTAATTAAATTATTGCGCAAATGACATTTTTGCCGGCTGACGCGCCACTCATGCAACAGTCTGTGCACACACACACACACACACTCATACAGCAATTTAATAAACACGATATCCTGCACGGCGTCTGCAACGACGGACCCGGCCTGGTCATGTAATTGATGCGTTAATCCGCATATTGACAGCGGTTATTGCGGTGGCTTTGCCAGCAAATATGCCCAGCGTTCTCCCAGGGGAAGAAGGGCCACAGATAATACCCTCTCTCTACCCACCTCTCCCTGCCTCCTCTCTTTCTCACTCTCTCGGGCTGCCCCTTTCGGGACTGCTCACTGATATGCCGCATTTATGGCCTTTTAAAAGGATTTGCACACTGCATTTTGTACTCGCCCGTGCACGGAAGCTAAGTAATTTAATTACATTGCGGCGATAAAATTGATATCAATATATGGCTTATACCATGCTACGCTGTGCAAGTGATTTTATTGACATTGCATTTTACATGCTGTGTGGCAGGAGATGCATTTTGCAGCTAGATAATTGCATAAGCTGAGAATTTATTTAATTATATTTAGTCAAATATATTTCTATTTGCATTTCAATAAACTTCCTTTTAGATCTTCAATAAAATCAAAACAACAAACTGTGAATATAACTAGATTGAAATATATTACAAACATACAAACATACATGTGGGCATATGTATGTATATATATCTACATACATATATTCATAAGAGAGCACATACCTTGAACAAGCAGCAACTTTATTTCTGTCTCATTCACTCTCACTCCAACACTTTTCCATTGGAAGTGGATTGCATTTGCAGTTTCGGCTCCCACAAAAGACAAATAAATAAATGGAACAATATGAAAAAATGTACACTCAACTTTTTATTTACAAATGAAGTATATACTAATTGTACATAAGACACTGGATAAACACGCACATTAGAAATTAATTGCTTAAACTTAAACTTTTGACGATCTGCAGCGCAGCAGCTCACTGAGTAATTATTCCTACATGTGTTGCTTCTGCTCTAAGCACTTACTCACACCAATACAACAAAGAGAACTTGGACTCCTTCGCTACATACCATTTCCAAATGCGCCATTTGCCTAAGCGCTCTCATTTGGCTACTCAACTCAACGTAATAGCTCTATCTCACTTCTACGTATGCCATTTGCAATGCTCGCTCACTGTTGTGCCTGCAGCCTACAAAAGAAGGGCAGCAAATCAACGGGATCAATGAGAGTAAGCAGTCAACAGTGATGGCATAAATAATTGACCGCTCTTCAGCTACGTAATTAACCGCTACCAGTGTTATCTCTTATAAAAGTCTTTGTGTGGATTGTTACTTTATTTATAGTACCTTTTTAATGCATTTTCGTGTAAGTAAATATAGTTATTCGAATTCAATTGCCTCTACATACTTTTAGGCAGCAGCTAAAAAGGCTTGCTTATAGCTATATTTGGCTAAATTTGCATTCAGCTTGGGTAAAGCTGTGCCAGCAAACGCGCAACAGTTGAGTGCACAAGTGGAAGAATGTGTGAGAGTGTATGTGTGAATGTGAGTAGCTGTGCAGTTGCGCGCACTATTTTTCAATTTATTACGCTCACATAACAAAACTTTATTGCTAAGCTTTCGCAGTGACTGCTATAGCTACAGCTGCTTTTCCAGTACCGCCAGCTCCCCTCCCAGTTCCAGCTGCCTTTCTTGGCCCCGTATCAGTGCCTGCCAACTAACTGTTCAATACTCATGGGGAATTTACCAATGTGACGTGCCAATGTGTGCGTGCTGAAGGAAAATTAGTCCAAACACGAGCAGGCAACAGTCCCGCCCCGCCTGCATCCCTCACTACTCACCACTCATTGCTGCTGCTACTGCTGCACCACAGGTGGGTATCAGGTGCTTTGGGCTTTGTTAACGGATTTATGCGGCAATCATAAAACTTGCCAACTAACCAGCAAGAAATGTCGCGCAAACCAAATTGATTTATGTGTGCAGGAGCAACAACAACAAGCGCAACAATCGAACGGATATAATACACGCCCACAGGCCCATGCCTAGTCAGCCACATCTTAGCCAAGCTAACAGGCAGGCGAAACTTTTAATTTACCAAATGTACTTTGTCTAACTTGATGATTTCAATACGCACATAAAGAACGCCCAAGCCAGCAAGTGCTAAAGAGTCAGAGCTGACTGGAAAGGAGTAGAAGAGTGAGTGAAAAAGAGATGAAGAGAGGCTGGYTGGCTGGCTGGCAGTGTTGGAAAAGTTGCAATTTAATGGCAGGGCAAACGTAAAAACGGCAAAATTATGACCAAAATGAGAATTTAATCGAAATACGTGAGCGGAAAAATGAAAATTTGACTGCAACTGGGGAACGTCTGAGGCAAACGGTGAACGTCGGGCCAAGTTGCAACCGGCATAAAATGCCAAGTGCAAGCTCATGCAATTTTTATCATGGCCACAAAAGCAAACACAGACGCAACACGGCAGCAGCACTCTTCTACCTGGTCACACCGCCTCGCCTCAGCTCACCTCCGCAGCTTCGCACCTCACTTCACTTCATCCTCATCCTCATCGAGTTCTACCTTTATGCGTTACCTTGACGCTCGCGTGCGCGTTGAGCAGCTGAGGCAATTGCACAAATTAATGCCACTGGGCGCTGACTGTTGCTTTCTGCTGCTCGCATTTGCCAGCTATCCAGCTACAGCTTGCATCTTCCATCTTCTCATCTGCCATCCAGCCATGCTCGACCATCTTCATCTCACGTCTCCCAGACAGACAGACAATTCTCAAATGAGTCAACAAGCACTAAAATTGTTTATTTTATTATCCAAGTAATATTTTGAGCACGGCAAGTGGTTCCGACTTATCTAGGGGACTGTTGGGAAAAAACTCTGGGTAGAGTCATGATTATTTACTACGGGTGTCAGTAAAGTTCTGTCTAAGAATTTTATTAATTTTATGTCTTAAGTGAAGATGATTTATCATTATTAATTATTTATATAANATAGAATTGCCAAAATATTATTTATAAATTTAAAAAATATATATTACATTTATAAAATAAATACATATTTTTATTGCCTAAAGTTGAATAGTTATGTAATAAAATAAATTCTAAAAAATAACATATAGGAAAAAAAATTATTTTTTTTTAGCTTACAAATTTTTCCTTGTGGTTTCAATAATTTGAATTTTTAATGATAAAAAAAATCAAACCAATAAAAAATAAAGTTCACATAAATATTTGTAATCGTTTTATTCGACCGAATTTCCGTTGATGTGGCAACACCAGTCACTCGTATGACCAACTTTTAAGAGCTTGGCTAAAAGAGCATAAGCCGCGCTATGCGAATTTATGCGAAAAGCAACTCGATTACTGCTGATCGAGCGTCACCGTCTGCGTCGGCGTCTGCGTCTGCGTCTACGTCTGCGAGCCACGAGTCACGTCACGTTCCCGGTATAAAACCAAATGCGGCGCGCTTAATGCAATCAGTCGCAAGCCGCAAGTCATCAAGTGAAGAGCCCCAACAACAAGTGAACGAAAGCTGCACAACAAGTGCTCAGAGTGCCACTACAACGACTATATAAAGACATCCATCAAGCTATCCATCTACGCGTGTGCAAAGTGCAAAAGTGTTGCAAGTCCAAGCAGAATGCATCGTACCTCAACTCAAATGAAGTTCGCCGGAGGAGCTCTGTCGCTGCTCCTGCTCCTGCTGGTATTCGCTGCCTGCTGCCAGGCACGGCCCATGGATCTGTACGATGATGTTAGCGATTTCTTTGATGCCATCTCGTTGGACGATGTCGCCAATACGGGCCGCAATACGCATCCGGAACAGTTCTGCATGATGCCCGCTCGCAAGGGTGTTTGCCGTGCTCTGATACCACGCTGGCGCTACGATCCGGAGCAGAAGAAGTGTGTGGAGTTCAAGTTCGGTGGCTGCGATGGCAACGAGAACAACTTCCCCAGCTACAAGACCTGCATGGCCACCTGTGAGGGCATGTAGACCGAGACTGGAGGAGCAAGTGAAGAAGTACGGCTGATCGGTATTTCAGTATCCGGTTGGCAGGCGTTGCCAAAGGCGCTTCCCTTTGCTTTTCGTTCTCGAATCAAAGGCAGCATTTAATTTAATACACACGCACACACATAAACATCCCATTAAGCAACTTTCCTTCAATATTTCTCTTTTATATTTATACATTTTCTTCAACTTTTTTTTTGTTGCTTTAAAATATGTTTGTATTGTAAGTCACTTCATTCATCATTTCGAAATTTCAGTTTTAAGCCAAAATTAATTGTAAACCACAGCGAGTGTTCAACACTTTGCTCTAGCTCTTAAGATATTGTGATAAATATTCATGATGAAATAAAGAATAAAACCAAACCTTAGATTTCAACTGTCATTTCTTTTTTTTTTTTGATATCTTTCTTCTATCTGAGATAAAGCTGATCTTTAACTGTTATATTTACTGGCTATGATCTGCATTGGGACTCGGTTGCATTTCTAGATAAAATATGCAGCTTTGCATTGTGCTATACAGATCTATCATTTGTTATACTTTGTAAATTTTATCTGTATTAGTGAGTTATAGGCATGTTCATGAACTGTTCTACATTCGTTGATAGCATGATCAGTCGAATATACTCATCTGTTATAATTGCCAGCTTTGACATGTAGTAATGTGTTATATGCAGATATCGATTTGTTATACATTCAAGGGCTTATGTATACATTTCTTGTGTTATACAAATCGTTCACATATATCGCTATTTTTCACCTGTATTATTGTCTTATATGTATGTATAGAGCTTTCTAAAAGTGCTCTACAAATCATTCATCTGTTATAATTGCTTTCTTTCGTCTGTATCATAATGTATGCAGGTAATGATCTGTTATACATTTGTTGATAATATATAAAGTCTTCAAATGTGTTATACATATAATTCAATCAATCCATTCCATCTGATCTGATGTATTATCGTTAAAGGCATTTGCAATCCCTTTAAAGTGCTAAATATACATAGATTTTGTTGCTGACATAAGATCTCACCATAAAACTGTATTTAATCTTTTTTATGTGTAATATGTATGTTATATGACTGATATGTGAACTCCTTTATATTACTATTATAATATTGATTAAATATGCTTTAAATCTGTTATATTTGCTATAGACCTATATTTCTATTAAAAGTAAATCCCATAATCTTAAAGCAACTACAACAATTATTTGTAAAAAATCCATAAATTAACAGATCAAGCAGAGATTGCTTAATTTTTTGCAGAATTTTCCAGCAACAGAAGTTTCGAGTACAAAAATTGAATGCAGACAGAGATTAAGCAATTGAGGCCGAGTAAATGGCTTAAACTAGATACGTTCTCAGTTTACGTGTTAGACATCAAGTATATGATTTCCCTTCAAACTTGTTTACTTAGGGATTTTACAATCAATTCTATTCGAAATGATTTTTGATAAGCTCTTTGTAAGCCAAAGATAATTAACAAAGGCAAATGCCAAACAATTGTCATTGATTCATTTCTAGCTTAGCCTAAGGCTATCTCTGTAGATATAAATTCGCATTGCAACTTTCATAGATTTCACTTGGAAGTGGCCCAACTGAGCTGGCTTCGAGTAATTTCTCATAACGCGACCCATTCATGCGAATATTGTTGTTGAACCAAAAAACAAGAAAAATGAAGATAAATAAACAATAATAATAAATGAGCAGAAATGACATGTAGAAGATTAGATACCCTAAGAGATAGTGGGATTGCGCAGACTAACATATATAAAAAACATACTTTTATGATATAATTTTTCTCAATTAGAGTCAGATAAGGAAAATATTAAAGACATAAATATAACTGCCTAAAAACTATCTGCAGCTATATGAATTATATATAGATATAAGATATATTGGTCGAAACTCTAAAACTTCAGCCTATCCAATATTAGGCACAGCCAGTGCAAAGTTTCAACACAAAAGTTTTAATTATTCAGAGATCTGTTTGTATGGAAAACGGATAGACAAACAGAGTTGGCTTTCAAGACTTGGCTATGAAGACAGATTACTAATTTAAGCATATATCTATGAAGTCAGGTCTCTAATATAAACATGTATACAGTCTAAGGTCAATGACGTCATCTTTATATGCATTCCACAATTCGCAATGAAATTAACATACTCCAAACAAGAGTATTTAACAAACAAACAAACAACAAATGAGAGTAAACAAACCAGATCAGTATATGCAAAGGTCATGCTACTGATGATGAAAATAATGATCACGACGATGATGACTGGATCAAATCAATGGATGTCTAGTTGGGTCTAGGCAAACCACTACGTAGAAACGCCAGAGAGTGGAGACATCATAATAGAGTAAGCCGTGGGCAGGTGAACAAACAATAAACAATTGAAAGGTGCGAATTTATGTTAAATCGATTGCCAATAAACCTAATTAATCCATGTCAACGTAGCCACAGTCTTTGAAGCGAATCCGAAAGCGAGGGCAACAACGAGAGCCGCGATTTGTAAGACCTGGCTGCGGGCCTTACTGTCACATATATCTATATATATATGTATATATACATATATACATATATATCAATGTATCATTATATGTATTAATGTTGATATTTATAGTTTTTTTACAACTGCTGGATCATTGACCCGTTGATGACTGCCGCAGAGCTAGTAACAGCTAAAAGCAAGTCAAGATAGGAAGCCAAGCTATAAAAACTATATTTAGCTCTCTTTTGTGAGTGCTGCGCCTTTCTTTGAATGAATCGAATAGGTTGAGACAGGTTAATTGAATGTTAAATCTCAGATTTGCCATATAACAGCTCCATTAAGCTCTATAAATTGTAAAGTCTGACTAAAATGCTGCCCACTTCAAAACTGATCAGGCCAATTAGTCCAAATTATAGGTAATTTTATATTTTATATTTACTTATAAATTTCCAACATTTACTGAAGACATTCTCATATAACAATATTGAAGAGAACCCAGTTTAATATGTTCCTAGCGTAGAGCTTAAATCAAACGATCTAGCAAATTCTATAGCGCGGAAATTTAAATTTCCGCAAATCGCGGATAATGAATATCAAATTAAATCTACAAGAATGTATGCTAAATATACAAAAATGTTATTTGACATTCGTTATCAATTTAGAAAATATTTCAATATACTGTCAATTTAGAGGGCTGCTAATATGCGTTGTATAACAGGTTTAAATAGCTATTAGCTCTTTGCTAACTAATGTTACTACTAGTCTGCGCATACGTATATGTATACATTCCCTAAGTATACAAAGATTAGTTATAATTTTTGTAAAGCTGTCAATGTAGAAATCATTCAACAGGATAACTATTTGCTTGATAAAATTCCCACTAGCTTACGCATAAAAATCCCAATTGTTGAGTGTGCCACATAAAATTCCCACTTAAGTGCGCATAAAAAGGCCAAAAATGACGTAGGTAGCGTACTTGAGCAGCCATAACTATGACACAGGGCTGGCATATTTAAAAAGAGTAACTCTATATATACTATGAATATCCCTTTCTATTCTGCTCTACCCTATACATATATCTTATGCCCAAAGTGAATTTTCTCATTAATAAAACATAAAAATAATCTCTTCTCTTAAATCCAAAGTCAATTTCCCATTATTATGCTTAAGAAGAAAGTCTAAACTGCTCAAAATGCGAGCCTATGCATATTCATTATGCTAACACACACCCACAGGCATATTCGCATTCATTTTCGAACACATCAACACTCACACTCTTGCAGCTATTATGCTCTTGTTTTCTTGTATTTGTTTTGCCAATATTTATGTCATAATATTGTTGTTGGTTTTATTAATTCACAATGCTGCGGATTTTGCACAATAATTTGTAATTTAGTGCCGCCAAAAAGCAAAGCGGGAATGAGTGATGGAGCGAGGGGCGTGACGAGGGGGCATACCTCTGTTGGAGTAAAACATATTTGGCGTGCTCACGTTTAATRCTCAGTTCAGTTCAGTCGCGCCAGCTCGTATTCAATCAAGCTCAACTCAGACTCAATAAACGGATTTTTGTTTTGTTTTGTTTGTTTCCATTTCGTTTTTCGTTGATTTTTTTGTTGGTTGCGCAGGCGCAACGATTTTCGCAATTTTTGTTTTTGGGTTGCGAACTTTGCTAAGCTTCTAGAAACTTCTGATGAGGCAAGAATTGCCCATTAAAATTGGCTCAAACTAAACTCAATGCGTCGGCGAATGCGGGCGAAGTCAATAAACTGTTTTAACCTGCATAAAAGCAACTAATAAACAACTAACAATTGCGGCACGCAAGGAAATTTGAAAAATTTAGCAAAAAATTCATTAAAATGCACTAAGCGCGCCGCCAGCCTATGAAAATGCACAATAACAAATTTTCCGCCTTGCATGAATGGCAAATAAATAGTGTTTAATGTTGTTTTTTTTTTTTTTTGCTTTTCTTTTTATGTTGTTGCTGTTGAAATTTATTTATTAAAGGCACGTAGCGCATACAAAAAAATTGCAAATAAAATTAAAAATAAACAAATACAGCTAAAGTCAACGGAATACAATGCGCCCCGCCTCCGATGCGGGTTTGTGTCCAGGTTAAAGCGATGCAAAGTCAACGAACTTTATGCGCAGCCAGCAAAAGTACCTTATAAAAATACCCTAGTTTCGATTGCTGATAACGGCCGTTGAATGAGCTGCTTGTGAGAGGGGGAAATTATTGTCAAAGGGGAATATTTTGTGCAGCGTTGTATTGAGTTAAATTTTTACTTAAATTTGCAAATGCCTGTGTTTTTATATCTATATTTTAAATACTACATTTGACTTCATTAGCAACTTAATAGAGTATTTACGCAGCAGTTGCAATGTAAGAAAAAGGTACATGAAAATAAACATGACGAATGCATTACTATTGCTCATGTCGTTACAGCTGATAATGCAAATAGGCATAATGAAAAGCGTAAATGGATATAGACATTATTGGAAGTAATTTCCTGTCTACTTAAGTAGTCATAAAGTACATAATTAGATAAGCCTCCAACGTACTTTTGCCGTGATAAAAAAACCCAGCAGGGGAATTCATTTTGAAACGTCGGGAATTTATCATCTAGAAAGGGTCAATAAAAACTTATCTTAAAGCTCGTGCAACTCATCAACTTTAGTAAGTGTTTAATTTATCGTTTTTTACCAATTGCTAAATACATATATTTATTATAACTAACATACACAATGTAAATATATATATGTATTTATATATATTTTTATCGTTTTGTTTATATCTTTGATTATTAGWAGAATCGATTGATAGGCATTCGGAGCTTAACTTTTCAACTATGATTCTTAGCAGTAGCAAAAAATATGTTTTATATTCTCTCATACATTTTCATCTTAATCAACTTGAAATTTTTACTCTGCTGCCTAGTTCTAGAATTTAACATTAGGTTCTTGATTTTAATCAGTGTTTAGTTCAACGTCAACGTTTCGTTATAATTTGTTTGGCTTCAATTCTAAATGGATCAGGCAAATATACTCCATTTTCCATATAAATATTTATATATATAGTAGGATCAAAAGTCTAAGGAAGCAAAGAAATTGTGCTTGAGCTAAGCAAATTAAAGCGAAACACTGTTAATATTGTAGGGCAGCTAAAAGTGTTCAGAGGGCAGAGAAGGGGTTATGTGGTTAATATTAGCAGGCTATATCCGTGGTGACGCTCTTAATGCTCTCGGAGCTAAAGTGAACGCAGCCGTATTTGCAGACCAACGTCCAGACATATGGAATGAAGAACTCCTCGGGCGCATCCTCCTCAACATATTTAAATTTAAGGTCCGGGAATTTCTAAAAGTGAATATATACACATATAATATAGAGCTGGGTATAGATTGAATTGAACCTACCCTCAGGCGATCGCTGGACCATTGGCTAGCGCCTTTCGATATGACCTCAAGCACCTCATTGACGCCCAGCTCGCCGCGCTGCTCCTGCACGCGCTGCAAACGTGATGAAAAGAAGCCAACGACCTAGAAGAGGCAAAGGCATCAATAATATAGAATACAATTCTATACTAATATAACTATATTGGACATATACCATATCGATGTTCTGTATGACATCCTGGAACGCATGATGACTGCGGAAGCCCTCAAAGACGCTGCGCTTGTAGAGCAGCGTATAGACCAAGTTGGGACAGTAGACCAGCTGATTAGTAAGGCAGGAGTTTAAGATTTCCAGCACCATGCGCAACACCTCCTCCAGCACACTCAAATCCTGCATCATGTCCTCGGGCGTTGTCGATACATTCACAAAGACCGCACTATCCGCCGGCTCCTTGAGCTGGGCATCCAGGCGCGAATGCTTGCGAGCGAGCGTCTCGAACAGCGATACCAAACGCTGCGCCACATACGGATGCAGAGCACGAAAATGTCCCGACATGTTGGCCAGAGCAGCCAGGCAATTGGTGTGCAAATACTTGTCCCGCATCTTCAGCATATTGTACTGAATGGTCCGGATGACGATCAGGATGAGAATACCGCCCAACGATATTTCCGATATCGTGCGCTCCGTATACCAACTGATGTTCTTCAGCATCTACAGAGCAGAGGGGGGATTAGTGAGAGCCGTGGATAGAGAGAGATGATCTCAGAGACACTTACAATTGTGTGCACATTCTTGTTGAAGCTCTCGTCCTCGCTGAGAATGAGCAGCACGATGAGCGACATGTAGATGTGGTGTGAGTTGCTGTCGGGCGCATTGTATAGCGTTTGCAGTATGGGTATGACCAATAGTTCCAGATCCTGCTGTTGCATGACGAAGCGATAGAAGCGTTCGTTGCGATGCAGCAGCAAATAGAGCAACAACGTCGCCTGGTCAATGGTCACAATGCGGCACAGGGTCTCATAGACGGCCGAGAAGTCAATTTGAAAGGATACGGTGCCCTGTTTTGGGGAGTCCTTGGAGTCCGCACAGCCAAAGAGGCTCGTGCGATAGGCATTATCCTGCGCCGTGCAATGATTCGTCAATATCAATATGAGCAGGAGACTCTGATTGGCCAGCGGATAATGCGTGCGAAATTGCTGCGACAGCTCCTCGCCGGTGGCATTGCTCGTCTTGAGGACATCCTGTTGCTTGCGAAACGTGAAGATGGAGAGCAGCGACTCGGCGATGCCAAGGACGAATGAGCCCGCCGACGTGGAGCCAAACATGGTGTGCGGCACCTCGATCATTCGTGCCACAAAATGCAGCAACGCCGACATCAGGACATTCGCATGCTGGCACTTGTAGATGGTGCGAAAGACAATGGATTTATCTGTGGGCTGGGCAAACAGATGGACGGCGAGCAGCGTGATCAACGTATTGACCGCCTCCAGGTGCAAATGGTAGGTGAACTCCTTGACGGGTATGACCACGATCAGATTGACCAGCGCATCGATAAACGTCTCGAACTTCGCACCATCCACAATGACAGCTGCGAGCGGCGCCTGTTCCGTGGCCTCGATGGCAATGCTGGCCACCTGCTGCTGCTGCTGTTGCTGTTGCTCCTCGGCCGCCTTAACCAACTCAGCATTTGGCAGTGCCTCAAAGTGCTGCAACAGCTGAAACTCCGAGCCCGTCTCATTGATGTACTTGATCAGAGTGCGGATGATGAAGAGCGCATTGAACGTCTGCCACACATGCATGTTGCTCTCCTGGTCGGAGAGGGAGAGCAGCTCGGTGGCCTTCTCCAAGAAGACGGTGATCAGCGAGCCGAAGTTGCCCGTCTTCAGATTATTGCCTATAAACGATTGACATAGCGTCTCCAGGCGCGAGTCCAGGCTCAATTGATCCTGGCTGCAAGGCAACAAAATTGAGCATCATAAATTGAAGTCGCTGACGTGTTGATCCGCTCACCTGTTCTCTGGTATTACGATATTATAATTGAGCAGTCCGTTCCAGAAGGCCTCATCGTCGTGCGCTATATGCTGCCGTCCCACAAATCGCTGAAGCCATTCATTTGCGGCCAAGTCGGCATTTCTGCTGACGTTTATGCCCATCTTTTTGGTTGTTGCTGCTGCTGCTGCTGCCGCTGCTGCGATTGCTACTGCTGCTGCTGCTGCTCTCCTGTTAGCTAGTTATTGTTTAGCACATTTGTTGCCACACGCCGGGGCTAAGAGCCGTTTTTACAATTTTACAAATAACAACAATTCTGCGTGTTGGCACTGAGGCACGTCACCCATTTATTTGTATGTGTTTTTTTTTTCTCATATGTTTTTGATGTGCTAGAAATCGCGTGCTTTGCAACACTGCGCGTAGCAAGTGCTGGCTGGTTCCGGAGCAATTTGAAATAAACGTTAAGCGAAATTTATTGAATTAAAATCTTAATCATTTGGAAGGAAAATAAAGACTCATAATATTAAATTTAATTTTACCTAATCCATGTTATAGTCTCTTGCATACAAAATAAAATATATTTATCAACAAGTAGCGGTGGTTCATTATCACAAAAACCGAACTAGTTGCACACGGTACTCACTTTGGCATTTGACGTTGCACAACACTTTTCCTTCTGCGTGACGTATATTTTGCTCAGTTTGAGTTCATTTTCAAATTTTTTGAAAACTTCATTTCGCTGACTGATGTTTGTGCGATTCAATGACTGAACATTGTGCGATTCTAAAGAGGAAAACCCGTTACTTTTCATTTCCAAAGGATGCAAGCCTCTGTGAGAAATGGATAAAATTCTGACGGCGTACAAATAAAATAAATGTCAAGCGGGAAATGATTTGTCTGGAAGCCAGGACGAACGACAGCCTGGAAAGCGAAGAATGTGGCGCAACATAAACAAATTGTTAATGCACTCATAACGGAATACGATAAGCAGCAAGCAGAGCAAGGCGAACAGCTGAAGCTGAATGAGGCGGGCGATGGATAATGGAAGTGGTCCAGTGGTGGTCGATGCAGATGCATATCTCACAGCTTGCCGCTGCGAAGGATGCGACAACAATTGAGAGGCTGCAGAAGCAGCTGACCAATCGCAATGAAAGGTACAACGAATTGTACGCTAACCTAAGCAGAATCTTCTCGAAGGTGCAGCTACAGAAGTTGCAAAGCGGCAAACGTGTGGTGTGGCAGCAGCGGGATCTGCGCGACTTCTGTGGGCTGTATGTCACCAGTCCAAGTGTCTACAATATGCTGCTCAAGAGAGCCTATCCACTGCCATCTGAGAGAAAGTTGCAGCTGGGGGAGGCAACAAAGCGCTGCCAGGAAGTCGACGATGATTCAGAGAGCTGCAGCAATCGGTTTCAAATTGAAGGCGAACAGGACGAAGCGCAACAGGTCACAAAGCAGCAGCAGGAGCAGGAGCGTTGCAGGTTACTAGAAGCTATATAAATAACGCATGTAGATCATAGTTATATTAACTACTTTTTAGACTGTGTTTACAACATCGAAGAGCTTTAATTATTTAACACCTAGGCTGCAAAATCAATATAAATTAGTTTCATATAAGTATAGCTATTATAAGAGAATTTTTGTTGAGTATTGCAATTTATTGCCTATGATGTAATAATAATAATATAATATACATAGACAAGTATACATTATAAATTAGGAATGTAACGGATTTAAGAAAATTTTCTGATAGTTTAGATTAGCCATAATTCTAGGGAAATTGTTGATTATATTGGGAACTTGTTAAATTCCCAGTGATTGATTATATTGGGAATTTGTGACCAATGATAGCTTTATATAGTATATAGAACAGGAAGCATTATCGCTTGGCAATATTTATAAGAGAATTCTTACTGCAAATGCTGAGCAATCAAAGTACGACATTTCAAACCTGATGATATGTAAATGCAAATTTTGTAAGATAATGCAATAACATGGATTATATTATAGATCATATTGTAGAACGCATATTAGCTTAGCTAAGCTGATAAGAAATTTGTTAAATATAAGGAACAGTTAGTGGACTTTACTATATACTATATAGCATGGGAAGTAGATGAGATTAGCTATATCTTTAGAGAAATGTTGATAAAACATGATGAAAATATGAAACTTCGTAATATTATAGGACAAATGAGAGAATATTGCTGTTATATGATATAATTGTTTGGAAATAATAAAAACATTGAATTTTGATAATAATGCATTTATTTGAAATATTAAATTGAACTAAAGCTAAAATAATAGTTGTATACTGCGCCGCGCTCCAGCAGCCCATATAATTTGGCAATTGAATTTCCCGCCGCATCAATTGTTATTTTGTTTCTCTTTGTTTCCGTTATCTTTTTTCACTTAGTCGTTTTCATAGTTGTTACAATTTAGATAATGCATAACTAAAAGATTATGTATATATATATATAAATATAGGTTCATATTGCGACTTGTTAACACATACTTTTATACAGACTATAGGTAATCAAAAAATAAACAGTTAAAATGACTGTCGATGATGAGACGGGCTCAGCTATTGAACTGCAACACTCACAAGCATCAACATCGTGATCATTATGATCATCATTATTAGTAGACAATTAACTATCACAAATTTTATTAAATTTTTGTCTCTCAGTGAGTGTGTACGCTTCTCTCTGTCTGTCTGTGTGTGGTGTGTGTGTGTGTGCGAACAAGAAAATATATACATATACTAATCGCTGCATTTCAAAATATATCATTTGTACATATACATGTATATGGATGCACATATATATAACTGCCTAGTTTTTAACACACAAAATGTTTGCTTCTGCTCTTTTTAACTAAACACTCGAGCAGATTAGCCATGTCGCTGTGTGAATGTGTGTGCGTGTGTGTGAACGTGAATGTGTTTATGGCTGATGACTTAAACTTAAGAAATATACACTATGGATAAGCATGAGAACTTAGCATGGTTTTCTGGATGATGATTTGCTGAACATGGCTGAAGGACTCCAACTCCGACTCTGGCTCGCATCCAAAATTAACGTTCGCTTGCAGCAGTTGGCTCCATTTCTGGGCTTAGAGTTTGCGCATAGCATTGGACTTGTTGTGCTTCTTGGCCAACAACTGCTTCAGGCTGAACGAGGACAGCGCAATGCCAAACAGGGCCAACATCGTGGCTGATCGGGTCACCACACGATTGGGCGCCGACGAGCTGGTGGTGAACGCATGGCTGCTATGCGTCGAGGCCTGTGCGGAGAGCGGCGGTGCCTGAAACGAGATAGATAAAACGTAATCACAAATTAGAGGAAATCCAACTTGAAACCGGTACGATAAACAGGTATGTGCATAGCTTATCAGTTTTATTTTGTTTGCTTGGCTTCGCTATATTTAGATACGTCAAACGTTAGCCAAATTGGCCAAATGCCCAAAGAGAAAGAATTCCGTTGACGGTTTCTACTACGCAGCATTTTTGTATTTCAATTGCAGTTGGCAACAGAAAGAGGCGTTGTCTGGGTGGGCGTGCCAGACAAGTTCAAATGCCCCAAAAAAAAAAATCCACGGCACTGGCGAATTCCCACGTTCATTGAACTGATTAACGAATTATCGTGTAATCGCAATGTGGTTGAACTTGTAACACCTGCCCGACTTATTCTACGTGTACAGTTATCTGTATAATTTATGTATATTTATACGTATAGAACAGCCCCCAGCAACGTCTCTGATGTAATTGTCGCTTTATGGCTGTTGCTATTGTAACAATTAGTTGGGTGTTTGCATTCTCAATGTTAGTTTCAAAGACGCAAAAAGCTGGAGACTCGTGGCAGGTGACGTCAGCAAGCGGCACAGTGGTCAAAGGCTGAATGAATAGGAGTTGAATTTAAAATTGGTTTAGATTAGTTAGCTAAATTGATGAGTTTTTTTTTAGGACAAATGCCAGGAGATATAAAATTTTCTATTTGTAATAATACTGAAATTTATTTGCTTGTTCTTAATGTTTTTTCATATTATATTTTTCAGATATATTTTAAAATATATTTCTTATTTTTTTTTTTTATATTCAAAATTTTTTTTTAATTTTTCAAAATATAATCCATTTTTAAAGTTATTAAAAATATTTCGATTTTTTCATTTATAATTGGACGAATTTAAATATTTATTTTTTTTTTTTTAATTGAAATTATATTTTATATAAGGAAACATTTTTTCTTGTTTGTTTTTTTTCGTTTTTTTTTATATATATATTT